GTGGTGTGTGTTTGGTGTGGCGTGTGGGTGGTGTGTGTGGTGTGTGTGTGTGGTATGGGTGTGTGTGTGGTGTGTGTGTGGCGTGTGTGTGTGGTGTGTGTCTGTGTGTGTGGTGTGTGTGCGGTGTGTGTGCGGTGTGTGTGTGGTGTGTATGTGGTGTGTGTGGTGTGTGTGTGGTGTGTGTGTGGTGTGTGTGTGTGTGTGGTGTGTGTGGTGTGTGGTGTCGTGTGTGTGGTATGTGTGTGGTGTGTGTGGCATGTGTGTGTGTGCGGTGTGTGTGTGTGTGGTGTGTGTGGTGTGTGTGTGCGGTGTGTGTGTGTGGTATGTGTGTGGTGTGTGTGTGTGCGGTGTGTGTGTGTGTGCAGTGGTGTGTGTGTGCGGTGGTGTGTGTGTGGTGTGTGTGTGTGTGTATCTACTTTTGGGGATGGAACTAAGAGTTCCATGCATGCTAGACAAATACTCTGCCCCTAAGTGATACCCCAGATCTGAATTACTCATCTGACTGTTGATCTTCCCTGGTAGCACCAAGTTTTGTCTCTAACCTGTGTGGAGGCCACCAGAATGTGGCCAGGGGCTTCCTGACCTCGGGAAGGAGCAGGGTAAGGCTACAGCCTTCCTGTGTGCTGCTCGGCCGTTCCTTTGTTGACAAGCTGGTGACTGGAGACCTCTTTGTCAGTGTCTCCTCCTGCCAGGCTCCCTGCACCTTATTTCTCTCTTCTCCCAGCCTGAGATCTGGACTCATGTGGGGTGACCCAGATCCATGAGGAGACACAGATGAACTTGGTCAATCTTCAGTGCTCATTCCCAGTGCCCCAGTACCATTCTGTCCTTTCTTTAGCTCTTCTTCCTTTGTCACCTAAGGGAACCACTCCCTAATGGAGTCTTTAGTTCCACACTGAACCCCTAGCTCCTCAGTCTTTTGTCAACCCCTCAGAGGCAGTGCCAAGTATCATCCATGTACCAGGTTCTCCTGCGTGTGTCTAGTTGATTCCTGCTTCCTCTGAACCAGCTGCCTCTTCCTTAGCTGCAAACACTGAAGCCGCATGATGCCTATCCTGGCACCTTTTCTCTCAACTCACCACCTGGCTTCCTGAGGCCCTGTCCTCTTCCCTGTGATGTGAACTCTTCCCTGCCCTGAATTTCCTAACCCAGAGGAGCTTGAGGACACTCATGTGGAGCAGGTGCTCAGGATGGCCCCCTCTTCTCCAGCCTCTGCAGTCTTCCCATGCGGTCACTCTTCACACAGTTGCCTGTGACCAGCAGGGTCTTTCCTGGCTGCCTGCGGAGCTCCCTTCCACTCCCCTGCCCCGCAGCCTCAGTTCAGTACTTGGGCTGGCTTTCATGTCCTATTCCTCTTGCCTGAGGGTCTCATTGCCTGTCTGCTCCAGGGTCCAGAATTAGAAGGCAGGGTCTGACTGCTTCCAGCTTCTGAGAACAGTGCTGCATTTTGACCATGAACCATGCCCTAATGGGTCTGCTGCACTCTTGACATTCTTAAAGCAGCACATCTTCTGTCTTCCACATAACATGGTTTGAGACCATCCACACGGTTCAAGGCCATTCAGTCTCCAGGGGTTCTGAAAAGTTATGTCAGCTGGCAGCACCTGGGGCCCAGTATCCTAGCCAGGGTTCCTCTAGGCAGCAAGAATAAAACCTTGATCACTATCACTTCCTCTGACACAGCCCAGCGGTCGGCCCAGGAGCTGCCCCTTGTGGAGAAGCAGAGCACCGACAGCTACCCAGTCATTGGTGGAAAGAAGATGGTCCTATCTGGCCATAACTTTCTGCAAGACTCTAAGGTCGTTTTCGTGGAGAAGGCTCCAGGTATGTTCTTCAAGATAGTTGTCTGAGCTTCTGCTCTGGGTATTGATGAGAACTGGCTCCTGGTTGGCAAGGTGTGGGCCCTCCACCTGTGTGATCCATCTGCGTAAGTGTGTTCAGTCCTAGCATGGATTATTACTGGGCAGAGGTAGCTAGTTGGACCATGAGCCTTTGTTTGTCCTGTGTTTTCATCCCCTGTGAACTTTTGTGTTGTTAGAAGTTAGGTTAAAGTTCACTTTTGGTGTCTCCAGGCTCAGACTTTTGAATTTCACTGCTGGAATTAAGGAAGTATTAACTTCACACTGAATGTTTGAAAGCACCTGCTTGCTTTGTCCAGTCTTCTGACTGCCTGAAGTAGACACCAGGCCTGCTGCCTCTTCGGAGCTCTCCCAGTCTTTCTTCCTGGCCTTTCCCCCTCCCTACCTCAGGGAGAGCTCCCCTGGCTCCTCTGAGAGAAGCCAGGCCCCTAACCCACCAGTTAGTACCAGGGTAGGCACAAGCATGTGCTCATCATGGTAGAGGCCACAGCCCAGGGCTGCTGTTTGTCATTAAGACTTTCAGTGCCATGGCCATGTATATGTGTGTGTATGTGTGTATATGTATATGTATGTGTGTAACTCCATCCCCACGGGCCCACTGAGACCCCCACAAGAGCACAGAGCACTGCACTGCCACCGTCTCAACTGTGGCCTTCTGCTCACACTGGCCCAGGCTGGAAATGCCTCCATTGGTTGCACATGTCAGGGGAGAGCTCAGAAAGGGTGGAATGTCCTGAGGAACATTTATGTGTGTTTTTCTTACACCTGCAAGACATTGCAGGATACTGTGGGAACTAGGAGTGTAGCCCTGTCTGTGTCCTGTGAGAACCAGGAGTGCAGCCCCAGGTCTCTTCCTTTAGCTGATAATCCCCATTGTTCATCTTTTCTGGGACAGTGAACACCTTGCTAGCTCCAGGTGGAGGCAGGAACTTGGCAGGGCCAACTGATCAGAGGCTGCTGGGTCTAAGAGGAGGAGCCTAACACTTAGTTTCAAAGAACAAGGGATAAGCTGGACAAGAGCATCTTCCATGTCTGTGGGCAGGTGTGCTCCGACCCAGAGAGGACCTCTGCCCTCAGGCAGAATGGACCTTCCTCTACAAAGTCTATATGGAGTTTTGATTTTTGGATCTGGGTTTCTCGAATGATCCTCATCCTCTCCCAGGCAGGGTTTCTCAGGGCAGTACCAACACAAGGAGGTGTTTTGAAGGCTTCCCCCCCGACACCTTTTCCACACTTACCAACTGGAGTTTTCTTGGAGGCAGTCAGTCCAATACTCACCCTAATCACAGAAAAGCACTGAGGCATTCATAGCCTCCATAATGGGATCTTGATTTTGTACCATTCACAGGAAACTTAAGCACTTCAATCAACACGGGCTTTCACATTTAACTTGGCTTGCCTCTGTAATCATGCATATAATTGGAAAATATGTTTTAAATTATAAAGAAAACTCAACTAAGTGCGATGATAAGGAGAATTGGCAGTACCCACGCCCTCCTCTGGGGAGGTTAATTCTGAAATCATTTGACCTTCTGAGTCTCAGGCGTGCCTCCCAGTCAGACATCAAGTGTCAGGCAGTGTGCTTTGCCTCCTGCACAGTGAGACCTCTGTGCTAAAACCGAGGGGAGCCACAGCCCTCTGCGGCTTTGTCACAAGGCGGGATCCAGGCAGCTTTTTTGCCTGTTTATGGTTCTCCATGGTGGGGAGGTGCCTTCCACACGGGCAGTCTTGACCACAGCTGCAGACTTGGCAGCTCCTGTGAAGCTGGTCCTGCTGTGGCCAATAGCAGTCTGCCAGTAGTAGGTAGCTAATAGCAGGCAGCTAGGTCTGAGCTTGGCATGTCACAGCAGTAAGGTACAGTGGCAAGACGCAGCCTCCTGTCCATTAGGTATGCAAGATCCCACCTCATCCCACCCCACCCCATCCCACCTTCACTGGATTATTCCTGTCTTAAAACTCGGCTTATGAGGTTGCAGGCTGGATCCCTAACTCACTCTCTCTAGTGACAGGTGATGTCTGGTATGCAAAAGACATATAATGAATGAGTAAATGTCACAAATACCTACAGCAGTGTGAGCTTGTAAACATGAGACCACTGTAGTTACATGTCTAAGTTATGTTATTTCATTTTATAATTAAACATTATTTGCATAGTCATACATGTGTATACATGCAAATGGTATTTTCCAAAAGAAAGAAACCAATGTTTGCATAATTTTTTTTCTTTACATTTGGTTTTCTAGGCAAAGGCCACTCACTGCTAAAGCACCATGCCATGGGGGGTGCTGGGATATGCAGGGATGGGTTTTTTCCTAGTTGTTTCTTTCTGAGAAACCACTAAGCCCAGTTTAAACTAAAAGCACAATTGGCTTCTCATTTTCTGACATGTCTGGTTCATTTTTAAGTTGTTTTTTAAATTGCTTCTTGCAGTAGGACCAGGCTGGGATGTGAGAGGTAACACTGTGGAAGTTGTGAATTGCGTAGGTGGCTCTGGCCTCTCTGGAAGGAGCTATTATTTTTTAAAATTTATTTATTACCTTTATTTTTATTTTTTGTGTACGAGTGTACTGCCTGCATGTGTGTAAGTGCACCTGTATCGTGCAGTACCCATGGAGGTCAGAAGAAGATGTCAGATCCCCTGGAACTAGAGTTGCAGGTGTCTGTCACCATGTAGATGCTGGGAATCGAACCCGGGTCCTCTGCAAGAGCAGTCAGTTCTCTTAACTGCTGAGCCATCTCTCCAGTCCCTGGAAGAGGCCATCCTTATGGCCGTGGCCCTTGTAAACATGGTTGAGTCAGATGATCAGGACTACAGGCTGGGACTGAACTCCAACATGTCTTCTCTGTGTGATGCAGGATGCTCAAGTCACTAGAACCCTGCAGTTGTGTGGAGCACCATCCAGTTTTCTGGGTCACAGTGCTCAAAACTCAGAGATTCTTGTGTTCACCAAATCAGTTCCCATGTTGTGAGGACTGTGGGAGCAGGTTCTGTGACTTGGGTAGGGATGATGGTGCACTGCACATACCCTGTGCTACCACTTCACTAGGAAGCTAGGGGATGTCACCCTCATGGCCTCCCAGTGGCTGGCCCCTTCCTTGGTCATCTGCTGAGGGGTCAGTATCACAGGGCATTGAGTAATATGGCATTGACTACCCACAATAGAGTGAAGATGCTTGGCTCTTCTCAGGCCTTCTCACCATGTCTGACAATTGACTACTGGTTGAAACCAGATATTATTTCAGGGACAAAGGTCAAAGGATCATGCTTCTGTATCAGGGGACATTTTTTTGATGATGGAAATCCTTGGAGAAGATTCCATCCAGGAAGCTGAAGTAGCAGATGAGGCTTGAGGGCATTTGCTACATAGGGCCACTTGTCCCATCAGAAATCCTGGCAGCATTGTGACCCACCTCCAGAAGCTGCAAGATGCCCAGGAGGTGACAGGCCAGCTGCTCCCTCATGTATGACTGTGTCTTCGGATATATGGACTAGGTGCATGTTTGTGTGTATCAACATTCAGTGCCTAAAGACTGAAAACACGAGATAGCCGTGTGAGGTGGGGCTTGCTCTCTTTTGGAGACTGGCCCAAGGTGAACAGAGGGTGCTGATTTCTAAGAGCTTGGTACCACTCAGCTCTGAGTGCTGGCGTTGAATATAGCTTCTTCTCTTTGTAAACTCACTGTTTATTCTGCTTGAAAGCCTGATTGAAACCTGTTTGGGCTTCTGTTACTGCATGAAAGCTATGCCAAAACCCAGGGGTCAGAGGACACAAATCCTAGTGCAGACAGCTGGCACCTGACCCTCCCATCCCTTGTCTTCTACACTTGCTTCTCAGTGTGGTCAGCTACTACTCTCCAGGGTCCTGAGTTTCAGTCTGTCCCAAGAAATAAAGATTAGGCATGCACTGCTGCCCGCAGCTCTGCTTTCCCTGGCTGACCCCTTCTCTGTGTCTTGGGAAGGTTTAGGTATGAGGAACACAGGAATGGGAAGACTGGAGGCAGTGGGATTTCTGAAGCAATGCAGAGATGTCTCCTGCCTTTTTTTTTTTTTTGCTGGGTATAAGAAGACAGAAGTGCCAGTAGAATGGTTACCTCCCTCCGACGGTGTTGACTGTGTAAGGAAGGTGCTCAGGTGGGGATGGTGTGCTCAACACTCTACTGCTGGCTGACTCTCCTTGACCTTGTAGAGCAGGGTGGCTCTAATGCCCTGAATGTGCCATGGTGGCCCTTAGGAGGGGAAGATCCCAGGGCAGAACCACAGACAGATCATCCTTCATGCACGTGTGTGTGTGTGTGTGTGTGTGTGTGTGTGTGTGTGTGTGTGTGTAGGAGGAAGTCCCGTGGCAGCAGGGTCTGAAGGATGCCTGTTGGATCTGGAGGACAGCGCACAGGGGCATTCCATCATCAGTGTGTCTCTCTAGAAGCAGGTCCTGGTGGATGAGAAGAGGCTGAACCCAGAGAAGAGAGGCCTCTAGGCAGCTGAGGATGGTGTGGCCCGAGAGAGGATCTGAGGCCGTGGACTTCATGCATGCCTTATGTTCTGACTCTTACTAGGCTCTCTGTTTGTTAATTATGATAACAGGTGTAAAAGAACCACCATGTGGGTGGCACCTGCTCCCAGCAAAAGCATGAGATAGCTGGGAAATCTCAGCCTCCAGCCAAGTACAGTGTAGCTGACAAGCTTACTTCTGCAATTCTAAAAGTATGAACCTGTTTGTGCCTACAAGCACCAGAATATACTGTCCCATGACAGAGAAGGCAGTCAGGAGGCATGGTGACCTGTGTCCTCAGGCCAGCTTAGGAGGTGAGGGTAAACGGTATGAGTATGGAATTGTGTTCCTGCATAGGATATGTGTGTCAGTGGGTATATGGTATATGTGTTTATGTATAACTAGTGTGGGGTAAATTTTATATGTCAATATGTCATGAGGTATGTGTCAGTTTATGCATGTGTGAGAATTATGT